TGTTTTTCTTGCATTTTAAAGTTTTTAAAAATCTGTAAAAGTTTCTAAAAGCCAACTCTGTCGAACAAGCCCTGTGGATCTAAACCCTGTGGTTCTGGTTCGGTGCAAAGGGTCAATGAGAAGAGCACGCCATTTACAAGTGGACCTTTTATGGATCCAAAGAATCCCGAAGCTTATCATAAAGGCGATAGCAGGTAAGGACAATCCCTCAGACCTAGGGACCAAATCCCTGACACGGGAAAAGATACGAAAGTACATGCTAAGCTTAGGATACACAGGTGAATGTCTGACACCAAGTGATCAAGAAGTTCAAGAAGCTGAAGTGAGAAGGACAAGAACAAGAAGTGTTCCAAGATTCGATGAAAGGATGATTACAAGGATTATCCAGACGGTTACGGCCGCAGGCCGCAGTGTTGTTATCGTTAGCTGAAGCAAGAAGATTCGGTGAAGAAGGAAAACAAGGACTGGGAAGAGCAAGTGTAGTTTGCATACTGTTGTGCATGTTCATATCAGCGATTATGCATAAAGTCGCAAGCGCAGCCGTTTTGCTCAAGAAAGAAGTCCTGAAGGAAGAAGAAAAAGAAGAAGATAGGACAAGAGCAATGGCAGATGACGACGCAGTCAAGTATATGATCACAGAGTGCAGCAGAAGCATCGAGGCTACCACTTACCTGGAAAAAGTGCTCAAGAGAGAACGGTCACAGAGGCCAAGCACTGAAGACCTCTGGAAGGAGGTAGAGGCGATCAATCAGCAGTACGAAGTCAAGACTACTGACAAGAAGAAGGAAGAAAAGTCAGAGAAAAAGGAGGAAAGTGAAGCAGCGTCGGATCCAGAGTCCGATGAGTCCAAGGAAAGCGAGTCAGCAGAGAAAGATGATGAAGAAGAACTGCCAGAAGACAAGAAGGAAGAAGATTTGGAGACGTTCAAGAAAACTGCAGAAGAATTGGCAGAAGAAGCAGAAAGGTTGAAGAAATCGCAAGAGGCTAACTTCGCAGCGTTGAAGCAAGGAACTATTCGTGTACCAGAACACGTCCAGAAAGGATAAGAGAGCAAGGAGAGATCATGGACGAGAAGCTGCAGCAGCTGGAGGAAATGAAAGCAGCAGCCAAGGAAAGAAGAGCAGAAGTTAAAGCAGAAGCGGACATCGTTGTGGAGAAGAGAGAAGAAGAAAAGGCTACAGAAGAAGAGAAGCCAACGGAAGAAGAAAAAGAGAAGCCAAGAAAAGAGGAGAAGCAAGAAAAAGAAGAGAAGCAAAAAGGAAGAGGAGAAGCAAGAGGAAGAGAAGAAGGAAGATGAGAAGCCACAAGAGGAAGAAGAAAAGAAAGATGCCGAAGAATCGGTAGTTCAATCCTCTGACGAGGAAGCCCGTGAAGCAAAAGAAGCCCTCAGAAGTGGATTCAACGTAGAGACAATGTCTGTATTCCCAACAGTCATGGGACAGTTGAATATCGAAAGCATTCGGCAATCAATGCCAACAACGTCTTTAGAAAAAGAATTCTTGACGTGGCAAGAGCAGATGAGGCGCCCCGTTTCAAGACTTCCATCGGGGTACGGTTTAAGGACCGCAGAGTTTTTAGCAAAAGTGGAAGACGACATGCAAGAATACATGGAAAGCATGTCCACGCTCACCGAAGACGAGCGCAAAGCAGAAGAAGCTTACAAGCAAGCTAGAGAAGAGATGGATCGATATGAGCAAGAACTCAAGAAGGAGATGAAAGAAAAGCTCGAGGCAAAGCTGAAGAAAGTTCGAGAACTCGAGGAAGATGCAGTCGCAGCAAGAGGAGATGTTGAGAAGACAAGCAATGTGAGAAGTGCGTTGCAGCAGCTAGGCGAAGTGGTACAAACGGCAGACAAGCTATTGAATTGTCAGCTTTAAGTGAAGAGTTCAAAAGCCTAGATTTGTACACAAGGCCAGACCCAGATAAGGAGAAAGAGAGACAGGCCTTAGCAAAGCTTATGGCGACGATCAAGAAGAAAAGCGAGGCAAGCAACCCGTCAACGCCAGCAGCGAAGATAAAGGCAATGCCAAAGAAAGTGCCAAGCGTTCTCAAAGGAGGACCGACAATCTCTGAAGAAGAGAGAAAGGCAGCGAATACGAAGGAGAAGCAGCTAGAATTGAAGCGCAAGCTGAGAGAGCAGTACAAAGAAGCGACAGATGAGTCGATTGATAAAGCAGCAAAGGCAAAGTTCGATCATGGCAAGGAGAAGCCAAGTGAGCCAGAAGGTACGCCACCAAAAAGACAGGTGAACCCGTATTGGCTCAAAGATCAAAAGAAGAGTCATTCAAGAAGACCAAGTACCTACACTGCTTTTATTGCAAGGCGTCGGACAAGCACAAGGCTCCGGAATGTCCGGAAATGGAGAGAGCTGTCAGACTTTACTACAACGGCGAACGGCCAGACAGCAGCAATACCGAACGCAAGATCTTTTGCAAGGTATGTTTTCTCTACTTCCAAAACGTGTCCTACCGCTCATTCAGATATAAGGGCTGGGGTACCCATACCCCAGACATCTGCAATTACAAGGACAGCGTAAGGACTTACCTGGAAGACAATGCATACAAGTATGAGAAGGAGTTGAAAGACTTCCAAGAGACATTTGGTTCAGGATATACGCCAAAAGACAGCTGGGGAGCAGAACCAAAGAAGTCCAAGAAAAGTGATGAAGCAAAGGCTGAAGAAAAGACTGTGAAGAAAGCAGAAGAGAAAGAGCCAAAGAAGAAAAAGCCAGCGGACAAGTCCAAGAGCAAGGACAAGGATAAAGAGAAGAAAGTTGAAAAGGCCGAGAAAACTGAGAAGGCTGAAAAGGTTGAAAAGGAGAAGAAGCGTAAGAGCGTATCTCCGTTCGATCAAGCAAGAGCTGAGAAACGCCAGCGAGGAGAAGAAGAGTTGATGTAAACCGTTGAGCCGGATCAAGGATATGCGGTGCGGTTTAAAGAAGAGCAAAAGAGCGTGAGGGCGTTTACGATGCCCAGCAAGAAAAGAGTGAGGCTGAAATCAGCCCAGGCAAGCGTGAGGGCGAAAGCGCCCAAGGCAAAATGTTTCACAACGAAAGCTTTGGAGAAGCTACGACAAAAGCCACGAGGATGGAAAGATCCCACGGCAACGACAAAAGCAAAAGCCACGTGGACGCAATGTCCCACGGCAACGTCAAAGCACTACGAGCACTACGATGAATTCAAAAGTCAATGTTCACAAAAGGACTAATGACAGAAATTTCCGACGGAAGTTTCCAGATTGCCGAAGGGCAAGGATGGACTACATCGCGAATCGCGACGTGAAGAAAAAGTGAGTGTGCATGTAGATTGGAGTGAGTCCATGCCAATCGTGTGTGGAAAGCAAATTCGCAAATCTGCTATAGGACATCTGAAACTGACATCTGAAGATTGAGGATGAAGACCAAAGGAAGAAAAGGAAAGAGATGTTCAACAAGTGCTCAAAGAAGCGTGTGAGAAGAGAAGGTCAAGCTCACAGGAGCATGTGAAAACTGTGGTAGAAGTAGGACAAGTTTCACAAGGATCACGTGACACGACAATTCTGTGTACGTGATGAGCGCGTAACAGAATGTTCAATTTTCCCTCATGCCCAATTTACCGCAAGTTTCACTGCGTATCTCCGTAGGTCAAACGTAGGCTCAAGACAGCCTGACAGCAGAGCGTGTAGTGAGAAAAGAATCTGAAGCTCGCGCCGTGCTGTAACAAGGATACTGGTTTAAGGGTTTAAACTTTCATCTTGGCACCCCAGGCAGTGTCGACATTGCATGCTTCACGCACGGCCGCGCAAGCCCAACCTCGTGCCTCGAAGTTCCCGCCGTTGATCTCCGAGTTCGCCTACACTGTGTCGGTCCGCGCTCCGCGCGATCCCCCTTTGAACAATAAGTCATGCCTTGCGGCCTCTTGGCTATCCGTGCCGCTAGGCTCCAAGCTGCTGCGGTCCAGTGTTCCAGGGGGCCCGAATTGCCCGCCGCATCCTGGTCCCAATCTGCCGGATACCTCGCTCACCTCATTTACATTCGGAGTGTATCGTGAGCCGAGCACTTTCTTGCAAGAAGCCAAGCTCCTCAAGCGTCCCTTCGACACATGTCGCGGTCTCCCAGATGGCATGCTCAAGGTGCTGCACTTTATCCTGGTGCAGGGTCCAGTTGGAGTCATGAGGCACCGGCTTAATGTCATACTGTAAAGCTTTGGCAAAAGTGGGCGTCCGAGCTGGCCCCCGAAGAAGAAAAACTGCGTGCAAGCCTTCACCCTGACGTGCGAGCCGTGCTAGGCAACAAACGTGTCCTCTTGATGAAGAAGATCGCCTCCTCCCTTACTTGGCCTGACACCACCTTATGGGATGATCTTACTCAGGGGTTTAAGCTTACCGGGTCCCAACCCCGGACGGGCGTCTTTGATCCAGACTGTAAGCCAGCCATTTCTTCCGAATCCGAGTTCTGGATGGCAGCGTCTGCTCAAAGGGACGCAACGTGGAAGCGAGTAGACAGTGCACCGCCTCCCTGGAGCCTCCAATGTGCTCCTTTTTGTGCCCCGAACCTAGATACCAAAAATTATTGGTAATACCAAAAATTATTGGTAATACCAAATATTGGGTTTAGCCTAACCTAGACATAAGGCCCCATGAGAGTGATTCCAGTCCCGAAGGAACCATTCCTGCAACATAAGACGAACCTCAGACCCCTTAGAAACCCCGGTGCACATATCATTGTTGTAAACTACAGAATGTATACATCTTCACATACCCAATCCTTGAAAGTCCCTGAATGTACCCGGCAGGCCTCGGCATTGGTTCCAGCTTCCATCCAGGGCTTATGATGGCTTATGTTAAGATTAGGCTTGTCAGAGATTATGCGGGGCCGGACAATATAAAGAAAGCTTCATACTAGGACTTGGGCCTGGGAGTGTTGAACAAACACGGGCTTTATAACAGATTGTCGCTCACACACACTGGCTTTTCTTGCACGGACACAGGAGCCACACATTCGCAGTCTTTCCAGAAAGATTTCAGTCATTTGACAGCCATGCTTTTCGAACTTCCACCAAATATTTTCGGATTGTGCCAATTGCTACAGCAGACGGGTGCGTAGTTCTGGATATGCGGGACGTGTAGCCCACAAACCCTTCCATCATCGGAGTTGCAAAAGCCCCCGGATTGAGACACCACAAAAGGTCACTCTGGAGGAACTCATGCAAAGACCAGAGCCAGTGAGCAGCAAAGTGAAACTTGGGAACAATGTTAAACAAAGTCCAGGAATGCTGGTGCCAGTAGAATGCAAGCGCGCGGTAGGCCTTCAAAAACTTTCGTAGGTGTGCATACCCTTGCTTGGCCTCCTCTCGTGTCCAGAAAATTCGATCCTCGGAACAATAGCATAGCCTGTTGAAATCATCAAAACCGCAGCAGCCAGCATAGGCCCAATCCAAAGCATCATTCCTTGCAAATGGCACACTCGAGAGCAGGTCGATGCACCATTGGAACATCATAACACAATCCATGGCTTTGCAACTGCAGTCCGGAAAGCTTGCTTTGGTATCCCAGCCCAAATTGTCGATTGTGAATTCTTGCATGTCACGGGGATGGAGACCCTGTGCCTCACAGTAGGAAGAAAAACTCGTGAAAGCCTCATGCAACCGAGTAGCCCTCGATGTCTGCTTGGATGTCGGCCCAAACAATGCAAGCGGTCCAGCCATCATACATATCACCGAAGCAATAAACGTCCGACCACAACCATGTGGAAGCACATGCATCAAATCAAACTGTATGAAGCTGGGTTCGTCACCACCAGGAATAGCAGCAAAAGCAGGCGTTTTGGTCCATGGCACACATTTGAACACAGTCTGCGTCCAGGTAGCACTCATGTGAATATGCTCAAAGGGTACATCACTGACGTTGGCCAGGCAGTGCGGGCAAATCTCATTGCACGTATGGTGCCTGATAGCCCTGTATGCCTTTGTTTGGAAAATGTGATCCCCAGACAATCCAAGCGGCACTAGGTGGAAGGTAACATCCCCCACTGTAATACCCGCCCAGTATGCTCTGCGAAGGGATCGTGCCATTTCATCAAAGAGCTTGTCCAAGATACGGTTCCCAGCCTCATTCCCTTTGTTCAAGTGGGCATACAGCTTGCAGGGGCACGTCGTCATCAGAAACAATCGATCCCAAGAACCACCGCCAATTGACAACATTGGTCCCCAGGATAGCTGCAACACAGGTCGTCGCCGGTGTCCCACACCTTCATCCCCATGCAAAAGCACAGGGATGCAAACACTTAGTGCTTCAGCATGATCATTGAATACCGGGTGTGCCCCATTGACACTTTTATATTTGTGCCAAAAATCAAGGAAAGCCTTGCTCCAAGCATCCTTGTCTGCCAAATGATGCCCAGCCAAAAGCTTTGGCGCCCATTGGCCAGACAGCACCACTTTTGCAAAGTCAACAGCCTGCAGCATTGGATGTGGTTTCAACACCATTCTGCGAACACGTCCCTTTCGGCGTAGCTGGTGTACCTTTAGGGTCGTCGGCTATGGTACCATAGGTTTCCTTTACAAATGTTTTTGTTGTATGAAACTGCACAACACAGAACTTTGCAATGGTTACACCGAGCATCGTCCCGGATCCATGTCACAGGCACACACAACATCAAGCCATGCTGCTGCAGCTTCCTGGTCATATCCCTCAGGCAGTTGCCCTTTCTGCTGCGATTGTTTACTCGAGCTAGATCTAGAAGCTTTTCCTTGTCTCTCCGATGCGTAGCCCAGGCAGCTAGTTCCGCTTGTGACCCTGCCAGTTTGGCCGCCCTTTTCCCGGAAGATTCCTCGGCTATGCAAAATGTTTGCAGGCTTGTAATGGTTCGGGGAAATATAAAGCTTGCAACCCAGGCTCCACATAGGCATTCAACACATTCTCCACATGGTCGGAATCACATTCTTTGATGTGACCTGCGTGGGGGGGGAAGGGGCACAAACATATTATATAGAGTCGAAACTGAAGAGACACATGCAAAGCTAACCAAGGCTTGTATATTTTGCTCCTGTACAGCACGGCAAGTTATGCTCAAGGCGGGCCATCAACACTGCATCTCCATTTCCGAAAGACGAGCACTTCGAGTGGTAAGTACACGGTTGCGCTTCAGGACACAGTGACATACAAAGCCAATGGAGGGATCTGCAGTGTCGTAGGCTGCTGAAACACAGCCCTCGATCGAAGCTCATTGTGACCCTGGCAGCAGATCCCAGCTGAGCCCCGTGGGAGGAACCCCAATTTGTTTCGCTATGCATTACATCACGAACTCGCCGGCAGGGGGCCCAGCTCAAAACAGAATCCACATATCTGCACACACATTCCCAGCTGTCCCCTTCACAGACATCACACTTACACAGCGGCACACACCTCTATAAGTGCTAGCATGCCGGGGCCCAGCTCAAAACGGAATGAGTGTCCCGGGCCCAGTGAAAAATCACTTGGCGTCCTCCGGCGCCGAATCGGGACCCGGGGCTTTTTTCGGAGCGGCCTTGCTCTTCGCAGCCGTCTTGGCAAAGTGAGTCCTTGAATGAATGTGCAGACCAATGGATCAAATATGCCAGAACCCGAAAACGTGCCAAAAACATAGCACACTCCGAGCCGACTGTCGCAACACCAATTGCTCGACCAGGCTGCTTGACTTGTGCATGGTAGCTGGTGAACATAATGCACCTCGTGCATGCGGATTTTGGGGTGGCTGCTGCAACATACGAACAAATCAACAGGAACAAAATTGCATCTTTATTTTATGCATCCGAATAACTCCGAGCGGATCTTGTCCACGAGAGGAGCAAAGCTTTGCTTCCTCAGCAACAGACAAATGTTTGTTCGGCAGCTTGTCCAGGCCCACACATATTAGAAGCCCCATTTAATATAAGGATAACCACCCATCTAAATTTTTTTATCAAACAACACCTTCTGTGAAATCCAGTGGTCTTCCGAGCCCCAAGTGTAGCCTCTTAACAAAGGATCTCACGACTACGGCCCACACCCTGAAACACTATTCATAAGTAAGATATATAGATACAAATAGAATATACATACATATGTACACAGATACTGTGTACTCTTGTACATTGTACAACCGTTTCGGGTGTCGATGCTTCCCGGGTATTTATAGATAGGGGGTCTAAGAAATAACGGAACATTGCAGAGTTTGCTATGATCCAGCGGTTTTCCTAGACGGGGCAGCTCTTGCTATACTCAGAAAGATTGAATAGTTGCAGGGGTTACGATGTAGCTAGCTATTGTGGGTCCGGAGTACTTTGGGTTTCAGAAAGACCTCCAATTCTATTGGCGAAGAAACCAAAACTAATAAAGCTCATGGAAACTGGGGTTCTGTTAGGGCTTATAAGGCTTATAGGGTTTGGGTTGGAGTGCCCGGTGCCTTCCCGGTGAGTAGAAAGGACCTGCACCCAGAAAGCAAGGCAACCCTAAAATGCCCTAAAGAACTGAACCACCCCCTACTATACGAACTCAACTAGCGGACCGTCTTAGCAGGCAGCGAAGCCAAAAGCCCAAATCCTGAATCTTCAAAACCAGTCCAACCAGCCCTTTGAAGCCATAGCAGCCCCTCACCCCTCCGAATCCGAATGCTGCGGCTGCTGCTGGAAGTGGCGATATCACGGCTGAGGCCAGCTTAGGGCTTAGGCTGGTTTAGGCATATAGAGCTTTACAAGGGAATAAGGGCACATATCATACTATGGTAGCTTAAATTTAAATGTAGCCCAGAAGCGACCCACCTTCAGCACCGGCTTCGATCTTGGCCAGGTCGTTTAGGAAGCCGCCGAGCTTATCTTGGTTGGCATGCTATCATATTTATCTTCGCACAGGGAGAGGCAGACTTATTGCTAGCAAGGCACCACCACTTTGCGACAAGGTCTGGAGGTCCTCCCTGCAGTAGCAGGCAGTTCAAGAATTCTCAAAGGGCTGTTGTAGGACTGGGTACATGCAACAATCAGAAGATGTAATGCATATACTGCACAGGCAAGGAGCTCATGGCCCTTTGCTCCCTCCTTCTCCAACCGCTCACGTGCACCCTTCAGGAGTGCTTTGCGGGATAGGATCGCACGTCTGTATTGTCCTAAGTATTCCTGGATGGTCTCTTCACCTTCCACCACGGGGTACTCGGCCAGGCGCTTCTTGCTTGGCACGGGCTTGTTCTCAGTGCTGCTGTCACCCTCCAGCTCTTCCATAATGTCGCCCAGCTCGAAGTCGCTGTTAAGGAGTCCCATTTGCGCCATTTCTTGCTGTAGCTCCTGCAGCTTCTCTTCTGCAGATTCAACATCATCACGAACCAACACCAGGAACTTGCGGATGTTGGGGTCATACAAGTCCTTCCTAAGATGGCTGCAAAGCCACACGATGGAGAGCACACTCACACACACACACACAGACACGAATTAGCACTAGGTCAATACTTATCACCGAGTCACTTGGTGAGCTTCTTCTTCTCACAGTGCTTGATGGCGCCCTGGATTCTTGACCTGGGTTCTGCTCTCATATGACGATGGTTATACTTAGTTAAGATATCACGAACACTGTTATATCCCAGATGCTCCTCCCACTCGAGAGGTGGCTTCCGCATCTCAGCTTCTGTTTTCCAAGAGTAGCCTTGGAGATTTTTTCTCCATTTCACCGTCTTGGTCCGGAAGGTGATGAGGCAGTTCAGCTTTGCCTGGATGAGCTTAGGAAGGCACCCTAAAGAATTCTGCTAAGGAACCTGGACCCCTGCACACAAGTATCACATTTGATTCTCATGTGGAGCTCTGGCTCCCGAGGCTACCACGATGTACATACCCCCCGGCTGTACTCGAGACCTACATGTCCCAAACAAACCCCTGTAGACTATATATATATATATATATATATATTGTACTTTACATATTTCCATATGGGTTCGATTGATTGTAGGATAGCCCAAGAACTTGAACAGCACTCCTGGCAGGCTACCTCTGCGCTATCTCGCAGCTGCAAATGCAGGTACACGGGCTTATAGACTTAATTGATTCAGGATAGAGCAACATGTATAAGGGCTCGTTTCAGGGTTCATTGATTAACTTATATAAGGGTTCGTTTCATTTTTTTTCGGAGAGGTTTCTATGGCATCCAAGAGGGTTTCTAGCGTAAGTAGGGTTGTGGGGTATATCTGTACATATATATGGAGACATAGGATTTAACATTGTTCTGGGATGTACAGTCGGTGGTCTAAACCCACAAAACCCCTAACCTGGTGTCACCTCCATTATTTGCCAAGACCCCGAAGCAACCAAAAGACAGAACCCCCGAAAATCCCGAGTCAGGCAGCCTTGTGAGCACCAGCATCTCCCCCGGGGATGTAGCATCTGCCAATGAAGTCCCGGAGCAGGTTTTGGCGTTGGAAGTCTCCTTGCAGAGCTAGAAGGCTATAGCATAGAACTCCATACCCATCTGGATGACTTAGATAAACCCTGAGTAATGTCGCATTGGCAAAGAGTTGGCTTCGTGGTTCATTGGTTTGCGATTGTTGTCTGGGCTTGGGGCCGGGTCTGTCAGTGTTTAGATAAGCTTCTGGGTACCGGGTACTGGTCGAAGCTTTGGACAAGGAGAACTTTCCGATCACCGTAAGCTTCAGGTTTGTTGGTTTTGGCTAGGATAGGCTATTGGTATACTTATCCTACAAGACGTTAGGGTTTCTGCATATATATGTATATATACTTACAGAGGGATATAAAGGGCTAGAGGGTTAAGCAGGGGTTGTGTAGGGATGATTCAGGGATGATACCACCCACACATATGTTGCCTATATACCCATGCAGTTTATAAATACCCTACATGTACCATCCTGTAGAAACCGTATAGGAGCACTCGAAGCCTTAATGAAGACTGCAGCTAGGATTTATAAGTAGCCGGCACCCCATATAGGGTTCGGGAGTAAGCTTCCAGAGTGGGAAGAGTTGATTATGTCAACATGCAGGGAAGCTCTTATATACATGGAATAGATCGATGAAAGGGAGGAGTAAGCTATAGCACACGAATCATACTGCGTGAGAATATGTAGGTGTGGATATGTACATGCCATGCCCCGAGATTTATAGCACGACCCGTTCTACAACACAAGACTCCTCCATCCCATGCTTGGCGGATCTCTTGCAAGCAATCCGGCGCCCGTGTGATCCGGTACAAAGCCCCCCATGCAGCTGGATGGGTGGAGGAGTTGAAGGGTCCATTACCAATGCCCTGTGGGGGAGGCGTAGCGGTCTGCACAGCAAGCTGGTTCTGGGCAGCAGGCGTAGCGGTCTGCAGAGCAAGCTGGTTCTGGGCCGGAGGCGGAGCGGTCTGCACAGTCAGCTGGTTGTGGGCAGGCGGTGGGTTCTGGGCAGAAGGCATAGCGGTCTGCACAGCGAGCTGGTTCTGGGCCGGAGACGGGTTCTGCTGCAGGGTGAGCTGGTTCTGCGTACGAGGCGGAACCTGCTGATCGGGCATCGGGCCTGGCAGGGCAGGGGCCCCCACAACAGGGGCGAAGGTAGGGTTGGGCAGAGCAAGCTGGCCTGGCCCCGGTGTCTGGGCTTCCAGCTTTGCACGAAGCTTTGCTTTAGCATCCCCAACATCTGGCTTGGGTTGAGCAGGCGGAGCAGCTGCCTGCTTGGGTACAGGATTCTGCGCTCGGTCGGCTTCCGCTTTGGCCGCCGAGGCTTGCTCGATGAGCAAGCAAAGGTTGTGTTCGTGCTGGTCCTTCTCATCCTGCATTGCAGCCTGATGTTCGGCTTGTTGGATCATCATCTGGTGCTCGTACTTTTCCTGCTCTGCTTGCAAAGCCATCTCATGCTGCTTCCTGGCCTCTGCCAGGGCTTGCTCATGCTGAAGCAGCTCCTGTTGCATTTGCTCGCGTAGCCTGCTCATCTGCTCATCCCTAAACTTCTCCAAAGCAGCACATTCATCCTTCATCCTCTTGTTCAATCCGGCATCATCAGCATCATCCATTAGGCGCTTCCTTGATTCACCCGCTGCAACGGCTGCAACTGCAGTGGCCTGCATGTTCGCACCCGGCAGAATCTGCGTCGTCTCGGATGTCGTGCTTCCACCACAACTCCCGCTGGAGAAACCTTTGCTCTTTTGACACAAGCATGAGAATGGACGGGTGGCTAGAGTTGTTACAAGAACAGCGGGAGTACAAGATCAGCCATAGAACCACGTTTCAGCTGTCCATGTGCACGAAGGTACTCTTCCTTTAGGGCTTTCGAGTCGGGCGTGTCGCCCAGGTTCTTCCACAGCTCAGCCGTCTCGGGCGAAAGCCCCAAGAACCGATCATTCTCAGAGCACTCTTCTATCTCGGCCTGTTCGAGTCAAGCAGAATGCAGTGGAGTGGCAAGTCAACACACAAGCGGATCCGGATCGGTTGTATTTCTGAATCCCCAGCCCGTTGCCTTCACCTTGGTGGGTGTCGTGATGGTAGGGCCGAGGTCGCTCTGCTTCTGCAGGTAGCTCATCCCCCGGTACAAAGACTCACACGACATGCGATGCAACACCGTGGCCCGGAAAAAAAGGCAGCTTAGAGCCCCTAACTATATAAGCCTATATATGCCCTGATAGACATGCATACCCACGTATGCAAGTGTTCACACATACACACATGATGCATCTTGGAAACCCTAGGTCCGGTGCTGCTCCCTGGAGCAAAGCAGCGGGAGAAGGTCCGATCATCATAGAAATAAGCTTAGATAGGCAGGGGTTTGGTTTCATAATAGGTATACTTAATACCTATATAATATAGACCACAGTATGCCCAGTAAGCAGCCTACAGATTCATACAGAAAGTGGGGTGTGTTACGGTTTGGGGGTTCTAGAATCACAGATAGAAGTAGCAGTTAGATGCAGGGATCAATCAGGGATGTGGTTGCTTCTCCTGCAGTACCTGTTTGACTTAAATCGGTTCGACGGGGAACAATTGGGGTTTAGAGTTGGATTTAGTTTGGGGTTTAGGGGTCGAGGGGTTTGGGGGTTTCGGGGTTTAGGGTTTCGGGGTTTAGGGGATTCGGGGTGTAGGCTTAGGCTTGGTGTAGACAAGCTTCAGCTTTCTCAAGTTGTTATAACTCCTGTTTGTAGATGTTATATACATATGTTAGATTTCAGACCTAGGAAAGCTTTCATTTTCAGGTCGTTGACTGTGAGCATGGGGTACTCACCTCTTGCATAGAATTACAGGTTTAGTTCAGATCATTACAAACCCAGTTGTAGATGCGTGCATTGTCCACCTATGTAGCATAATGTAAGGTTGTATAAGGATTCTAGAGGTCTAGGGTCATTAAATTTCTTAGTTACCATCATCCAACTGAGCTTTCGGATCTAGATCGATGTACTGCGGTATTGTGCACGGAGATTTTCTGAGTTTGGGCATTGGGTGCACAAGCTGGCAATCGACTTGATGGACTGTGCGTGCTGTGCCCACTAGTGCGCTTTTGGGGTGAGTGGATGGCACCGAAACAGCTGTGGGCTGACACAGTCGACACACCATCGCAACTGCACGATCACAAGTTACAGGACTCTGACAGATCTGGTTCTCTGACGGATATGAGCCTGGACATGATCGCGAGCACGTCGCAGGGTGCTGAATCTGCTGCTTCTGCGGCAAGCATGACGGCTAGATGCCAGGACGACGGGCAACGAGGAGCTATTGGACCCCCTCCCCTTCCCACCCCTCCGGCAAGTAAACACAGATAGGCATTCCCCGACCCTATCCCGAATCAAGGCATCCTAACCCTATATAGACTTATAGTACCCATGTAGCCCTAACCCAACTGAATAGCACTCGAAACCAAGGAACCTAATACCGAGTACAACCAGAACCTCAATAGCTGGCTGTGCTAGATGGTTTACTCCTTGACTTGGTTCTACTTTAGACATATCAAGACCGGGTTCCAATGAAACATGTCTTGCACCTGCTAGATCTATGTGGTTTTATGCTTTCGTGCATATGGGTTGGGCAAATCCCAGGAACTTCGGGGATAATGAAGGTTGTGGTTGGGTTCCAATTCAGGCACAGGCGACATTTTTAAGGGAATTCACAAATGAACCGTACCATTTGATCAAAACCTTGGCTAAGTAGGATTGTGGGTATAGGTAGAACACCCAAGGCCGCTGCGGCCATTAATCCTGAAAGCTGCGATTAATATATAAGGACGGAGCCCTTGCCAGAGTATATAATCCTAATCGTGGCCCACTTCAGAACCCTCTTAAAATTATAAACCCTATACAAACCCCATACACCCTATAACTTCCCTAGACCCTATATCCATTAACCCTATAAACCCCTGCAGTGCGGGCTTTCTCCTTGCTAGGTAGGAGGGAAGATCAACCCCTTCTAGTTATAGTGACCTAGCCAATCCTGGACCTGCTGTTCCCAACAGAAGCAGAACCCGTCATAAGACATTGCACACCACATATACCTCTAAGCATAAAAGCCCAACAGAAAGCCCATCATAACACACATTAAAACAAACCCTGCACTTGTCAGGGCGATCCTGGTGTGGCAGGGATCTGGGCCTATCTGGGCAGGTTTTGGATGTATCTTCAGATAGTTTAAAAGAGTAGGGAATCTAGATCTACATATATATATATAAACCCTGTATAAACCCTTATAAACCCGAAACCTATAGGTAAACCGGTTTTAAAAGCCTTGCCCGACTATGAAAGCCGACTCTATCTCTCTCTCTCTCTCTCTCTCTATATATATACATATATATATATATATATATATAGAGATACAGTGGGCTTTCATAGTCGGGCAAGGCTTTTAAAACCGGTTTCTAGGGTTTGCAAATATCCATGGCTTGGTAGCTTAAGGGTTTTCAGCTCTAGCGAATTATGGGGCTTTCGAAGCAGGTCTTGCAGGGATGAATTAGTATGGGTTTCACCCTAGATAGTATAGACCCACATAAGTTGAGAAAGGGTTGGCTCGCCTAGCAATATATAGTGGTTCTAGGGTTCTGGAAAAAGCCCGACATAGACAGGCTAGGCCACGGAAGGTAGGAAGGATATGCTAATGGCCCCAACCACCCCCTATCTCTTTCGCCAGGAAGCCCGAAGCCTTCGAAACACATTTCCGATAACCGGGTGGGGCTATATAGGTTTAGGGTCTGTTGCAGCAGGTTCTGGGCTTTTGAGAAGTGTAGTGTAATCCAAGGATAATTATAGAGCTCATGGTAAATCATGGTAAAGGTGGGATAGCATCTAGCACATACAATGGACACTGTTGTGGCCCCTAGTGAAGCATTAGCATATCGGGTTAGTAGAGTTGTTACAGCATACTCACATATATAATAGCATATGCGGAAACCCCTTAAAATCCCTGGACCTGGAGTAAGCACACGGGGCGGGCGGTAGCACCAGAGCCGGAAGCCGATGTCGAGGGCAACACTGGATCTCCTGCAACGACTGGTGTTGTTAGGTTTGTCTGCACATTAAGAAAGTGGTTTAGGTGGCTTTGCGGGCAACCCAACTAGGGAGGTTTCAGAAATTGGTAAAACCAATTTCTTAAGGGTACGCTGGTGGGCCTCAGATTTTCTGTTGCATTCTCGCGCGTTCTGTTGCTTGTTTCTGGTTTTCTGGTGCTTGTTTCTGGTTTTCTGTTGCTGTTCCGTTGCGGTGGTTTTCAGTGTCTGGCATTCGTTTTTTGGTTTTTTCAGGCTCCGGGTCTGGTGACACATGTTTTTTTTGGTTTTTTCAGGCTTCCTCGGTTTCTGGCTGTGTTTTTTTGGTTTTGTCAAGCTGTCGTGTTTGTAGTACCATTATATAGTTGTTGCTGCTCTTCTGTTCGGGGGCTTCTTGGTCTCACATCTTCTGCATTGCTTCTCTCAGAGGTGTTTGTATACTCTTAATAGGGCATATGAGAGTTCGGGAGCTGAAGTTCTTCTGGGTTGTCGGGTAAACACAAAGTAGGGATCCCGGGAGCCTTACAATTTCTGTGGTCTTGGGTGATGCATCTGCTATTACTCAAGAATGCCGACCCACGGGTATCTTAGGTTACACACTTATTGCACTATAACATATACATATATTGGGTACGGCCCCCATACAGTAACAGTCTATAATAGGGCTACTATTAAGGGCCTTATATATCTATATATTATGAATATTATCCAACTGTTACTGCCTGGGGGCCGTACCCAATACATATAGTTATGTAGCGACCATAATTACCATAAGTCCCGGGCCTCCACCCTCCAAGTATGTATTCCTGCAACCTTGGTTAGGAACCCAGCATAAGGATAGTATTCTGAACAAGTAGTATGAACCCTCGATCAACCTACGGGCAGGGTTGTGGAACTTGTTCAGATCGCCAAGCTTACCCCGAAAAGTTTTAGACAGGCCGGCAGCCTAGGAGTCCATGTACATTCCACAAACCCTATAAAATATGTACACACATTTTACAGCACATCCCTGCAAGACGAAGCATGTCGCACTAATTACATATTGGCGTGCAAAATGCTACGGCTGTGGCTCGAACCACAGCATGCACTCATTTGATCAGGCCCAGTGCAACCTTCAGTTCCGGGGCCAAATTGATGCTCCGGCTACTCAACAAATAGCCCACGACATCATCCAACGAGGCATCCTCATTCCAAAACTTGGAAGCGTCATCTTCGTAGTAGTGCTGGGACCCCAGTAGCAGCTCCATAGATGCATCTTCAGGAACCGCCTTTCAGCGGCTTTTAAGGGTAACCTTACCCCCTGAGAGGGCTTATTACTAACCCTGCATAAACCTAGATAAACTCAATAATTGCATACCCTATATACATTGTCCATAAATGTGTAATCATATATGTATATACAAACATATATCCACCTATTTCGCTATGCGGACCACACACTAAAAGGAAACATCGTTTTATAATAACGACCCATGTAATGCTATTGTACTAAACCATAGATCGAGATCACAACTATGCATTATAGGGCTTTATAGGCTTATGGGCTCGTATCCAAGGCAGCCTTGGGCTGTCGCATCGGCGATGCTGTCATCTCCGGCAGCACAGAAGCCACTGTCTGGCCGAATTGAGGTGTGTAGGTCCTTTCAGAAAGTGGGATGTCGCTTCGGGAGTTTAGGGCCTTGTACTAATTTTGACAGATCCAAGGACAATAGAATCCCCCCCAAGCCGGTCTGGGATGACTTCAGGCGTTTCTTGATGCCCGTGAAGCGTTCTTTGCCCACTCGTTCATCCCAGTATCTCTTGCACAGAGGCTGGGCACTTGCCCGTAGTGCCTTATCAAGTTAGCAGGATCTACCATTATGCAAAACTACACTAGAAACTTGTACAAACCATCGAAAACCTATATATGTTCTATCCCCCGATGTACTAAAAAAAAACGCGTGGGGTTGCAGGGTATGTAGGGTACATTACAGCTCGATCAATATGTGTGTGTATATATATATATATGGGGTGGGTTACTTATATGGCCTATTCTAGGGTATCTAAGTCGGCGGAAAGACATACTGCAAGCTGTGTCTCCAAGAGCCTAGCAGCTTTAGTGATCGGCCCACGGTCCAAGAGTTTCACTTCGGGGCAGTTGCTCCACAAAAATGTTCTCTTGAGGGACTTCGAACCATACTGTCGCATCCACACGGCCTGCCTGTAAACCACTGCAATGTATTTGCAGAAGAACCTCCAGAACGGGAGATGCCTCCACATTCCCCCAGCCGGCTGCTCCAGTACGAAACGATGTCCGAGGGCCGAGAGGACCCAGCACAGAAGCATCGTCCTCAAGGGGAAAAACGAAGAAACTGATTGGACAGGAGAGACTCAAGTTATTTGTAATCTACCAATTTCTGGCCTTATGGCCATGAGGTTCGCCTCAGCCACATCACGCCGTGTTGTGTTGCCAATTGGTAACACAAAGCTCCGACCAGTGTGATTCGAAACCAACGTCCCCATGGTGCTGCAGACTGGGGCCAGGAACACCAGACTTGATGGCTTCAGGCGAAGGATGGCAGCCAAAGCCAGCCTGAGAAGTAACGGAGGCAAACAAGGTAGATAGCAGGAAAAGTAGGATGGATAACCCTTAGTATTTTCATCTGAAGCCCAGATGCGAGAACCCGCTTGCCGTGCGGAAGTCCATCCCACAGCTTGGGTACGTCTGATCAAAAGAAACCCCAGACAGCTTGATGTCCCGAAGGGCTTTGGATAAGTTTGCTGCACCAGCGAAGAACTCGGCGAAATTCCAAACCTCACATGGTCTTGCTGTTTTTCCCAGGGGTTCGATGGTTTCGGCTAGGTTTTGCTGGGTTTGGTGAGGTTTTCAGCGCTGTCGGCGCGGGGGGGGGGGGGGCTTTTTTCCCGAACGTCGGGGTCAGGTGGAGTGCCGTTGTGCGAAACCAAGGATGACTTTGCCACTGTTCTCTACTCACCCAAATCTAGTACACTGCACTACTACTATGGTTTGTTATACCCCCAACTATGACTCCACGAAGAGCACCAGGTTGTCCAGCCAGAGGGCACGTGCCCAGTCCATCTTCTCATTGCTCTGAAGAAGCAGTAGGCAAAGCACGATCACCTCAGGGCATATTGGCTCCTATAAGGATCTTTAGTGGGGGGAAACAGTAAATGCACCGAACTATTTTGGAATGTCTACAGATCGGTTCTCTTTGGTTATGTAGGGTAGATTGAGTACTGCTCAGTCTGAACGAAAGAATGGCTTCTAGGGTTGTCTAAAGGGTCTTATAAGTCGAGAAGGCACAAGCCCACGTGCAAGACAGTCGTTTGCCTACCTATCGATCTATTTATCTGTCTTTTTTTTGTAGCACATACATCTATATCTATATACATATACCTATATGTCTATCTATATATCTTTATAAATGTATGTATACATACATACATACATACATTTATCTACACACATTATAGCACATTTAGGGACATATACATACAGGGACTTTCAAGTGCACTACAGTAATCTTCGGAGGCTTTACAACGAAGCCAAGGCTCTGCATGTATCTATCGAGTTAGCTGTATGGTTTGGGATTCAACGGCATGAACAAACCGGGTTACAGGAAGCCAGCCAGGGTTGAGACAAAAGACAACAGTTAGGGCAGCTTAAAGGTTGCGGGGCTTGAACAACATTTGGGATTTCGGCGAGGGCACCTTGGGCACACGACCAGCGAACAGACGCTGAACCAAGGCTTTCTGCTCCCAAGCGGGCTGGCGGCGTGCAGGCTCCATGGCAGCCGACGGTGTTAACACTGGCAATATGGGTTGCATGCTGACACGGGATACATTCTGCACTCGACATTCTGCACGGTTGCACTAGTGCTTCTCCAGCATAGGCATCAATCGGTTTATTCCTATCTCGGGCCCGGCAGCACCAAACCCCAAGACTTACACTTGGATTTCCGATCACTTTAATAGGGTAGATCAGAGAGCATGGGACTTTGGAGAGATGGCCCAAAACTTGGTAAACCCTGTCGTAAAGCAGGCAAACCCCTGGAAGACCATTATAGGGAGAATTTCCCGAGATGGCCCAAAAGTTTACAAACCCTTACAAACCCTGTTAGTAAAGCCGGCAAACCCTAGAAGACCCTCTAAACCTCACGGTTCCAGAATGCCCAACTGTACCCGCTGCAGCAGTCCTGCGACCCTTGCATAAGCCTTGCGTAGTCCCTTGGTGCTCAGCGGCATCGCGACCTCAGGTGCAGTCGGAATCGCTATGGAGCTTATGGCTGGCCCGGGAGGCCACTGGGGCACCACGTTGTAAGGTTTATGTGGCTCTATAGGGTTGTTGAGTTTTAAGGTTTCGGATAAATCAGGGCCAGCAGCAGCGGCAGCAGCTGAAGCACTAACAGCAGCGACTGTAATCGTCCCAGGTGTCCAAGCTCTACTAGGGTTCTACTAAGTAACCTAGTAGTAGAGTACTTGTAGTAGTCGTCGTCGTCCTCGTAGCAGCAGCAGCAGAGCAGTCGTGGTGGTGGCTGTGTAGTGGGAGTACTGGTATTTCTTAGTAGCACCCATTGCAGTAGTACTAGTAGTGCTAGTAGTCGTCCTCGTCCTGCAAGCCGTCCTATGTCATGGCAACGATTTCCAGCACCAGTTATGGGACCACTAAGACCAGTACGGCTGCTAGGGTATTCAGAAGCTTATACACACAATGCATGCTTATTAGCACTTTACGAAACGACATGCTTCTTGGGCTTGCCCAAAGGCATTTTCCAAATCATGAAAGGGGCTGGTAGGGTGGGCCTCTTTTGAAACCAATGATTTTGGTATTTTCCATTGCTTGAAGCATTCTCTTTTTGCATGCTAGGTTTTGCATGCTCACGTCATGCCCTTTTGAATCGTGTTGGACGATTGACATCTTTGCTTCATATCAGTTATGCTCGAGCCCGGAGGTGGGGCAATGTTTTTGTTCGGGAGGGACGCAGCCATGGATGCAGGCTGACAGCGATGCCGGTTGCTAGAGAAGGCTGGGGTCACTTCCCACCTGTCTTACGTGAGGGTTTGCAAGCTGCTTATGGACATCCGCTTGTTGCTTGGGAGCTCCTTGATAGCGACGAGGGGCTGGAGGATTTATTGGCGGCTGCAAATCTTTCAGATCCAGAGGTTACTTCGGCATGCCGTGATGCGTTGCGGAAGCTTCGGGATACTGGAGCAGGGGCCAAGAGACAAGCATACTTCCGGCAATGCACCCTCATGCGGTGCCCCAGGCTGCCGGGTTCGTCTGATGAGCTACGAATTATGCAAGACTGTTTTCAGGACATTTCTTCGGTGGTAGGACAAGTCCAGAAGAATCGCCGTCGAAGTCACCTGGGCATGTCCCTCCAGGCGGGCATAGATGATCCTGAACAGCTGGAGCAACAGGAACGTGGTAGGTGGCAGCGTGTTCTGGCAGGTTATATTGAGGAGGCTGATCTTCCTGTTATGGAGCTCATTCGTTCAAGTGAGACACCCTCTCAGGTCTGGTCCAGGATTTTTGGTAGCCGCCGTGCCAAGACACTGAGGAATCGGGCTAAAACTTGGAAGGGTTTTCATTTGTGGCTTACGTTGGTGAAGAGAACCTCCTGGCCTCAGAGTGTACTGGATGTTACAGATTATCTGGAGCATCGTATTGCCGAAGGATGTGGTGTCAGTGTCCCTAGCAATGTACTCTCTTCACTGTCTCTGCTGGAGAACGTGGGAAGGATTGCAGGGGACGGCCGTCTCGGATCAGATCCCACACTGAACGATATGGCTAAGGCAATGGGGGAGGAGCTGGAGAGAGGCGCGCCGCCCAAGAAACCAGCTAAGTTGTGCACTGTTGCAATGCTTGTCTCCATGGAATTGCTTGTTATCGACGATGAAGCGGCG